AGAAGGAAAAAAGACGCCTTTTTCAGCCAGCCAAATATACCGAGTCACAAATTCGATGGATATATCTTTTAGTGTCATTTTTCTAGTATAACGACTCCTTAAACATCAAATATCCTATAAATATGACGCTAAAAATCGGGTTTTGATACCCTGCGGTGCACAGAACACCGATAACCCATTCGTGTGTAGCTTTATGCTTAACAAGAATCAAACAAAAGGAATAACAATGCTTGTTTAAAACGTAGACAAAAAACCGAATGAGATCGAGTGACGCTATAGTTTTGATGACCGAATTAGGTAGACATTTAATGGATCTGATGGGTACCAAGGTACTAATGTTGATACGTTGGGCAAGACTTTTTGTGGCATAAATAAAACAAAACATGAGCAATTTGACCCATGTCAGTCTCATTAGATAAGCTGAACTACATATAAATATCTTTTAAACACAAAAAAGCTACAGCCATTATTTTTCTTTGACATTTTCAACGTGAACGTTACTTTATGAGCACGTGGTCTAAACGACATGGCCAGAAATGCCTAAGGTTCAAGTATAGCCGTTACTAACGTTGTACTACTGACCAGGGGAAAGACATTTAGAAGAACCTACTGCCGTATGAGCTATGTCCAGAACAATGAGATTGACTGTCGCTCTTGCAACGCACCCATAGCTGAAAGAGCAGAAACGTGCATGCTTGTCTGCATTACGGCACGAATCTTGGACCTAGCAACTCACAGAGCGGCACGCTAACCACTAAGCCGTGCTTGGTCGCATGTTTTCTGTATTGTTTAGTTTGGAACACTAGGTGTCACTGAATGCAAATGTTTACACTCAATAGTATCTTTGCGGCAATGCAGCCTAAGATATATATATACCAACTACGTTTCATTGAAACTAATAAAACACGAAATATCAAAACGTAATGTATAAGTCTATTCGATTGAGTTTTGTTGAAATGTATTAAAAACAACAATAAAAAAAGCTAATTCCTTATGATTAAGTCCTAACGAGTAACCTTACATTATTAACCTTTAAATTAACGATTTATTTTTATGTTGTTCACTACTGGTGGAATTCACATATTCCAACATATAGAGATTTTTTTTTGCCGGTTAAAATACTTAGTCTAAAGGACTTTACGAAACATATTGGTGAAATTTTTCACTTCCTATACATATAGTGGAATTACTTGTAACATTGGTGGTGATTATGTTTATATTTTTAAAAAATCTTATAACCAACAAAGTCACGAACCCACAATCAGTTTGGTTCATAAATAGTTTAGAAAAATGCGTTTAAAAACCAAGCCCCCCAGTAGCACAGCGGAATGTATGCGGACTTACAACTCTAGAAACCAGGTTTCGATACCCGTGGTGGGCAGAGCACAGATAGCCCATTGTGTAGCTTGGTGCATAAATTCAAACAAACAATTAAAAACCAATAGGATCCTTTAATCCATAGATGATTCTAGGTTAAACATTTAAGGATTTTGTTTGTTTGTTTTTAGCGCAAAGCTATTGGCTGTCTGCTCTCCCTCCAACGCGGGGAATAGAACCTTGATTTTAGCAATGTATGACCGTAAACTTACGCTAACCAACCGGGAGGACGATTAAGAAGGAGCTATAATACTTTGACAACTTCTTCCAGAGGTTTTGAAAACTATTTTGCTGTTTTGCATGCAGTAAACTAAATCCTTGCCAAGTATTAATCTAAACAGGTTTTTATAACGTAGTTATATATTAGAAAAATAATAGTCATTTTGACAGTTCTTTATTTCCAATAACGCAGTCATCAATTCCTAAGAAAAAAAAACGAGAAGAATATACAGGAATATAAGAAATTTTGGCCTAGTGGTTAGGGCGCACTCGACTCGCAATGTGCGGGTCACAAGTTCAAATCCCTGTCACCGAACACGCTCGTCCTTTTAGCCGTGGGGGTGTTATAACTTGACCGTTAATCCCACCATTGGAAAAAGAGTAACCTTCAAGAGTTAACGGTGGGTGGTGTTGACTAACTTCCTTCCCTCTAGTCTATCATTGCTAAATTAGGGATGGCTATTGCAGACAGCCCTCCAGTAGCTTTACGCGAAATTCAAACCAAACCAACAAATGCAGATGTATTATTGAAATTCGCTGGTTCTGCAACTTTCTAGACAAGCTAGGAAAGCTAGAATTAATGTGTCGGGCACCTTCTCGGATTATTTTACCCCGGATGCAGTGTCTCGCAAGGAGGGGGTAGTTAGCCCTATTCTGCTCCCAGGCTGTGGTTGACTTGGCTATCTGGAAGAGCTCCTACACTCCATTTATTGCAGCGACAAATCTACAACCACGGTTAAATAAAATAGAAAGCTACTGTAACGAATGGAGAATCAAGATAAACGCCCCTAAAATACAAATAATATTATTCAGAAAATCAAAAAAGAAGAGCAAACAGCCCTTAAAATTGTACCTTTACGGAACTCTTCTCCAGGTAGCCACATCAGTCAAATTCCTGGGTCTAAGCTACGACTCTAAATTAAATTAGACTAAATACATAAATGAAATTAGAAATAAAATCTGACAAAGATCGAATTACTTACGACGTCGGACTGGCAACAACAGAAAACATACTCGAAATATATAAAACCTACATACGCCCAGTGGCAGAGTACGCCAGCCCATGGTAACCAAATCACACGTAAACAAGTTACTAACAATACAAAATGCAATAATAACTAAAGCATACAGAAACAAACACAACATTCTTACATAATTACGCAAACATCCCTATGTTGTCAGATAAACTTCAAATAGATCAATGTATTACTTTCGCAAAAATTAAACAACAACAACAACAACAAAAGAAAAAGAATCACTATGAACGCTAAAGAGTTTGTTACCATACATGATGATAATAGACTTAAGTACCTCTCAGTACTAATTCTAGCAAACTTCTTATTTAATCTATGGTCACCTACTACTGGGCAAATCAGTAAATAGATACAGTGTTAATTTTATTTTAAAATGGTTTATTTATGTGAAAATAGGATTAGTGCTATATTTTTCCAATTAATATTTATGGAACTGTTTACATGAACAAAATTATGTGTTGACAATGAATAACAAAAAGAAGAAGTTTATATCAGAAAACTCGAAAACAACATGTAGTGACTGCATGATGTAAGAACGGGTTTTTTCTAGCTACCGGACCGCATTCTACTGAAGAATTAATTTGGGTTTCATCTAACACTCAATAACCAAATGAATAGTCAAGAAGGGAGATAGAGGTCAAGGTATACCTGATCCTCAAAGATCAGATGATGAAACAACGAGCAAATGAAACCTTGAATGATTGAATATCTATGTAGGTTATTCTACAGATGAAGGCAGAAATTTCATTTCAAAACCTGCCTTATATGATAATTCGTCAAGCGTATACCCAAATTATTCACAAAAATAATTCGTTTTCTTTATATTCGCCTATAAAACTTATTTTTTCTTCAATAATCAACTTAAAAAGCCCAGAAAAAGAATTTCGAAAATCATGTACCGTGAGTTGAATATTTACTCACATACAAGTCCTGCTTTTAATTAATCTAGTCACGTCATGATTAACGAGGTAGAAATGGTGATAAATTAAGCAAAAATGATTGAAAGTTCTTAATAAAGATAACATTTGTATGTCCAAATAAATATTGGTTTCGAAGTGATGACTTGCCGGATGGTATTTCACAGATAAAAACAAATGTTGCGGCCTCGTAACTATTTTTACGTATCTGCTTGTTTAATAATTTCCGGTACAATTTCTTCCCGAGGAACTTCAGCGATACAAGTTAGTTTATTCTTTCTCAATACAACTTTGCAACACACAGAATTTCCACAGTCACTTTATCTTAAGCCCACGCTATAATTCACAACGATTCACGCACTTTACTTACGGTCACTACCGCTCGCTTGACTCAATTATCTGTCTCTATATCTGTCCATCTGCAATTGTCTCTTCGCTTTATTTGCCGTGCTTATATACTACCAGCGTCACGTGACTTCCGATGTCGTAACACAAACATAAACAAACTAAAAATCAAGAAATCCATCTTAATTCAACAAAACAACCCTACTCTAAACCAACACCCTCGGGTGCCAAGATATCTCTTCTAAGTCGTGCAACAATATCTGGTCATGTGACCGCTTTGTTCCATACTGTGTATATATATTTGTGTCAGTGTAAACAAATTGTACCTGATGATGACAAAACCTTGTACATTTGCTGCTATGTTAAACTTATATTAAAGAGTTTCTTCATTACCCATTCAAGCCGTCTCCAAGCATAATAATAAAGTATCTCGCACGTACAACTATTTCCTCGTGCGCACGAGATAATCCCATTATTTTATATTTTCCATCTTGTGGTTCAAGACTTTCGTAGTTATCAAAGCAGTTCTTATCAAAATGTTATTGAAAGTGGTTGTGAAAAACGAGAGGCTACGTGCGTTGAAAATAAAACGAAATATTATTATTTTTTCTTCTTCCAGTTCTAGTAATATAGCAGTCGTTAAGATGTTGAGTAATTAGAATATTTCTTCCCTTTGTTTATTGAATTGCCCCCAAAGCTGGAAGCGGGTTTTCTGTGACAGTCATCCATAATTTAGAAGTGATAGATAAGACGGAAGGCAGCTTGTCAATCCATTGCCCAATCGAATGGTGAGATTGACCGTTGCTTTATAATGACCTCCCAACTGAAAGAGTGAACATGCTCGGTGATAGGATTCGAACCCACAATCCGCAGATGGCGAGTCGAAGTCCCTAATCACTAAGCCACATCTCTTCTGAATGATAGTAGGTGACTTATTAGTATTATTATTATCCTGAACACTTCGATATTAGATATGGATAATTTGTTAAATTATTCTTCTAAACAATTTCTCCTTAGTATTGATGGTGGATAATTAGTAATTACTTTCCAAAGATAACATTATATATATGTTAATAATTTAGTAAAGCAATAGTTAACTCGAACCTACCTTTTCTATCTCACTTTTCATTACAACAGGAAAGACAAAATACATAACGATGCTCATTACAGCCATAGAAGCACCAATGCCGAATAACAAAGCAAATTTTACTGTGGGTGAAGCACTCATTTTGTGTGGGAAACAAAACGACTTTAGCTTATTTGGTCCGTTTAATATCTTTCAGTCCTCGCGGGTAAGTATTAAGTTACTAACTTATGTGCTCATTTTATTTCATTAGCTCCTCCTCATTCTTATAAAGTCCACTCCTCTTACTTCTCACGCATAGATACTCCCCTAGTCTAACGTTTACTGGAGTTCTAACCAATAATAGAACGTTGTGTCATATGATAACAGGAAATTGAGGGCTTGTATGTAAATTCACTGTAAGTTGTTTTGCAGCTAATGTTAAGATAAAAATGAATACAAGTTATCAGAAAAATCAGTTAAACATGCTATAATTTTTAACTAATTCTTGAATTTTTTTTTATTCCTGT